GACAGTCTTCATATCTGTCGGGGCCATTAACGACCTGGCAATGTCGAAGGTTCCCTTCCCGCAGGAACTCAGGAGGCATGCTCGTTTCTTCGCCTCGTCGGTAATGTCATGCGTTTCCAGATGGAACTCGAACCTGGATAGGTAGGAGTCCCAGTCTTCTGAGGAGGGTTCGAAGCACTCGAACTTCTGGCTTCCAGCCATCGTGGGAGACTTGGGCACCGGAGCTGGTGGCGCCTCCGCCGGTGTGGGGCAAACAAGCAAAGTCCAAAGCCAGTCCGAGGTTCAGCCGAGTAGGTCAAGCAGCACAGTTCAAACAAGTCCAAATCAGTTTACAAAGCCAGCATCAAACATACCATAAGTCGAAGTCCATAAATCAAACGAAGCCAGGGAAGCGCAGAGCCGAAGTCAGGGTCAAACAATGCCGAGTGTCAAGGAGCTGAAGTTCAAAAGCCGAGTAGCCGAGTAGCAAACTCTGGTGCCAGAACAACAAACTGTGGGAGCTATGCTCCTTTTAAACATAACCGGGCTAATGTAGCCACGCCTATTTACAAATAACAACCAATGAGATTGCTCAGTTAAGGACCAATGGGAGTCTTTCCCTCCCAGGGAATAGTACTGTTCTGATTGGTCGCTGTTACAAAGCAACCAATAGGAAGTTCGGTCAGAGGAGCCCTAGCTTGGCTCGAAGCTTAACATAGGAGTCTAATGAGGTGATTCATGTAATCGTTTCAATACATTACAATTATTTATCCTTATGGCAAACTTAATCCATCCTTTGACAATCAGTGGGGCATAAAAAGATTTTTTCTTTCTTCTCCTTGAGATGCCAATGAATATGACTGTAAACCAATGCTCCCCTTTGGATCCAGAATGAATATTTTCATGCCATTCATTTTCTCTTTAGGCATAAAGGTTATTAGTTGACCATCATGACCTGATTAACTTAGCTATTTTGTTTCAGATATTATGCTCTTCTGTACCATAGAAACAAACCAGCAAAGATAGAAACTCATACATTAATTCTTGGTGCACTGAAAATGTAATTTAAAAAAAACACACAAAAAACCTCGGTCAATAAACAACTAATTTTGAAAGGAATTTTGTTATTTTTATGTTAAAACATATGGGTGCACTTCTCCTAAGGTCCTCAGTTCTCAGGGTTCCCATTGGATCTAACCCATTCCCCCCTTTGTCTGTGGTCAACATGGATCAATGGGGGGGGGGATTCTCTATTTAATGTTTCAGTTATGTCCCTTGAAGCAACACAAAATATGGCAGAAAATCATCAGAAGGAAAATCCTGGAGTAAAGATAGGAACAAAGTTGGAATGTCATAGAAGAATAAGAACAAAGTTTGAATTCAGTGGCACTGTTAGGGCCAACACAAATTTAATTCTGGGTATTCATGAAAGCTTATACCCAGGATTAAACTTTGTAGATCTTAAAATTGCTGCTGGACTCAAATTTTGTTCTATTCCTTCAGACCAACATGGCTACCCACGTGAATCTACAGAAGAATAAGCTCATCCATATATATAAATAGTTCACTTCTGAAAGGAAAACCTTATTTTATTGTACTTTACTTTGTAGACTTCCTGTGAAATGTTGTTGTTGTTCAGTCGCACAGTCGAGTCCGACTCTTCGCGACCCCATGGACCAGGTCACGCCAGGCCCTCCTGTCTTCTGCTGTCCTCTGAAGCTCACTCAATTTCATGTTCGTTGCATCTATGACAGTGTCTAACCATGGTTTATAAGTTTTTAATATATAAACAAATACACAGAAAAGCCTGTGTTGTGGGTTTAAATAGTGCTGTAAGATGAAAGGGCGACATTTGCCTTTTTAAGGCTTTAAGTCATAGGGGCTGCGGTCGCACACACTAAATAATCCACTTTCAATCATCTTTCAATCCACTTTCCAACTGGATTTTGCCAGTTTACACAGTAAAAATCCAATCTGAAAGTGGATTATTTAGTGTGAGTGACTGCAGCTAGGAAATGGTTATTTAGAACAACTTTGAATTCCTGGTTCCCAGAAGGGCCAAAACCAGAACCAGAAACATAACTTTTTTAGAGGGTGAAAGCACTTCCACTGGGAGGTGACAGAAATTTTTATTTGGATAAAAACCATGCATGCCTGTGTAAACATGCATTTGTATAGCCCCAAGTATCTGCCATTAACCTTGGCAACTTCTTTGTATGTTCACAGTATCTTTGTAACTGCTGTTCTTTTCTCTACTGTCAAAATGCAGAATTTTTTTCTCAATTTTGTTTCAAGTATTCCTTTTTCTATTAGAGAATTGATGAGAGCTCCCTGCTATGGTTCATCACTTCTCTTTTTTTAAAAATGGATTTAGTTGGAGCAGTATTTATTGATCAGGCATTCTGTTTTGTCATTAAACATTGACAAAAGTAATGCAGATGTAATAATCCTCTCACTCTGACTAAAAGTATATTGGCTAATTTGATATGAGGTAAGCCTTCTCCCCTTAAATCAAATTTACAGTTTTAAAATCTAATTTAATCTGTTTGAAAAGGTCTTATTTGATACATGCAGCCAAGTTTCCATTACCTTTTAAAAATAACTTAATTTTACATGTTTGGTGTGTTTTAAACTATTTTTTTTTAATCATTAGTATCCTACTCAAGACAGACGTGTTCATGCTGGGTAAATAGCCTGACTTACTTCAAAGGTTTTTAAGCCTATAACAACATACCCAAAATTTACACTCTCAGAGATGTTAAATCTGTCTCGAAGGGGTTCAGTTTTAAAATGTATTTAGAAAATGTTTATGCTGCCTCTCCAGAGACCTGCTAGTAGTGGCTAACTGACCTTCATGTAGCCCAGAGTCTGAAGGGTTTCAATCCAAAAGCTGCTGAGAGGTTCAGAACTGTTTCCAGCACCTTCCTTCACCACTAGTCTCCAGATCAAGGATGTCTACCAGATCCATTGACAGTTTAATCCTAAACAGTTCAACTCAGAATCCAACTGAAGTCTAATCAATGGGGCTTATTCCTAGAGAAGTGGTTTTAGGATTGAAGCCTAAATCAGTGTGTCTTCCCAATCTTGCTTGAACCCTGATTGATATAGGTTAAGGACATTTGTTTCACTTAAGAAACCCTAGAGTAGTTTCAACAGGGTTTTGTAGATTATTATGCCCAAATATCTGAGATTAAAAATAGGAGTAAAGTTGTCAGTCAGATGGATCAAGATTAGGCTTGCCAACTCCAGGCTGGGAAATGCCTCAAGGTTTGGGGGGTGGAGCCTGGGAAGGGTGGGGTTTGGGGAGGGGAAAGAACTCAGTGGGCTATGGGGCCATGGAGACCACACTCCCTGATCTGTCATCTGGAGACCAGTTGTAATTCGGCAAGCCTGGGCAGCCCTAATCAAGATTCAGCGTTTTAAGGACAAGGAATACCACCAGCTCCTTCATAAAGACTGAGGCATCTCTTCCCCCTACAAAATATTATTTATGGTGAGGATTAGAATCGGAGGAATCACTTCTTGATCAGTCTTCAGCATTTACGGGGACAAAGGTCAGGAACCTCTGTCTGGAAACACTTCCCCAAAGATTCTGTTTGTTTCCTATAGCAACAAACCACTCATTGATCCATAACAAAATCCAAAACCAAAACCTATGTTATTAAAGTTATTAAAAGCAAACAAAACCACATAACACTGCAAGTTTTTGTGTTCTTCATAACATTAATCGGGCACCATGTGTCCACTTCTTTTTTTAAATAAACCAGTCTGATGAAGAGTTCTGGAGATATAAAGGATGAAAGGAGAATGGAAGAACAATGTAAGCAGCTTTGGATCCCTGCTAGTAAGAAAGGTGGGGTATAAATGAAGCAAATAAACAAAGGAATAAATTTTGAAGCATGCATGCATTTGTGTTCCTTTGATTAATTTTAAGAGTATTGCATGGATATTATTTTTGGCTAAAACAATGCTAATGGAAATTGATTCCACAAAATCAGGCAAGCAGAGCCCCCCCCCCCCCCCCCCCCCCGGGCTCCTCCACAGAATATAAGGCGTTAATGGGTGTAGCTTTATCAGAGAAATGCCTTGCATTTACAGTCAGGCATTGTTCTTGCACTGGACTGGACTGTACCACTGCAAAAGTACCTAGAAGACTACCTTCTTTGCCATGGTCAGAACCACAGGATAAGCCTTCAAATTAATTTGAAGCTGTGTTTGGTTAGATTCATCTCAGGTTTTCTGCTACATATTAGGCGGCACACCCCTAATGTGTACAGGGGCTACTGTAAACTCTTGGAGGATTGGTTACATTAGGGGTGTGTCGCCTAATATGCAAAAGAGTTCCTGCTACAAAAAGAGCCCTGGACCAGTATAGGTCTAGCAATCTTTCAGCCTCCTAAAGTTATACCACATTAATATTTGATAACAGAAAAGACACTCTGATTTTGTTTTTGCTTTCCGCTTACCTTTGTTTTATTGTCAAAGCAAGTGAATCCCAAAGCAAAGTCCACGGTGAAACACAAGCTTTCTCCTTGCCAGCTACACATATAGGTTTTAGACTGGAAACAGAAGAAAGATAAAATGTATTGTATGAGCAGCCATAACATATTTTTGGTTTGGCTGACATTCTCCAAGCTAATATGAACAAGAACAGATGACATGTATTAATATTGCCTTATGTTTAACCCAACAAGGGTTGTGACACATTCTTGTCCCCCAAACTCCCACAACCTTTCTGTTGCACTATACACACAATCATAAAAGATGGACAAAAGAGACTACACTTCTTGCAAATGTGCATGTGTGCCCATGCACAACAAAATTTTAGAAAGTTTGTTGTAGTCTATGACTTGGATCTAGTAATGCACAACCAGAAATATAAACACACTTGTACAATATCATGTACAACACCTAACACTTTCTTCTCCACATATTATAAGAAGTTGGTTGCACAAGATATTGTAATGCAAATGGGGATACAATAAGTATGACGTAACACAAGCATTTACTGTGATCTTTTTCTTGTATTTCTCCTAGTGCAATAACTCCAGATATAATTTCTACCTCCAGATTTAATTTCAAGAGGGTTTGATTGTTAGGGGTAGGGAAGGCGGCATGGCATGGCCCAGTCTCATCAGATCTGGGAAGCTAAGCAGGATCGGTACTTGGAAGGGAGACCACCAAGGAAGACCCTGCAGAGGAAGGCAATGGCAAACCACCTCTGCTTCTCACTTGCCTTGAAAGACCCTTGCTGGGGTCACCATAAGTTGGCTGTGACTTGACAGCACTTTACATACATGATTATTAGCATACAGATTGACAGGAAAAAACCCCTTTTCCCCGCTGACAAACACCCCACGTTAAAACCCCTAATTTTGTTGGACATAATGAAGCATAATTTCAAAAAGTAGAAGAATGAATAGGCTGCAAAGCAGTGGGAATAGGCTGCAAATTACAGTTAGGCATCCCAAGACGGACCAATTACGAAATGGGGTCGTGATATCAGTGGGTCCTTGTTCTGATTTGGACCTTTGTCCGGTCACGGCACTCAGTTCCTATTTGGCCCTGGGGGGAGGGGGGAGTGCAGGTCTCCTATTTCTTCATAAGGATGGATCGCCATTGACAAAATTTCAATTTTGGGCAATTACCAAGAGGGCTCTGGTAGCTTTGGGCCTTGGTAATTTCCAATTTGGCACTCATTCTTTTAGAATTGGGGCGGCTTCCACTGCTGCAGCTATGAGGTATCAGGGGCCTGACATTCAAAGAATTGGCAGGTGGAGGTCAGCACATTATAAGACGTATGTCCGGACCTGCAAAGTTTGAGCTGCTCCTTCAGTTTGTATAACAGGAGGGAGCATGCTGTTATGAGCCTGAGTGCTCTTTTGTTGTTCTCTGGTTAACCTAGTTTCTGTTTTAGGTGTTGCTGGTCGCCATGGGAAGAGCTGTTAAGGTTGCCAAGTGCAACCTACCTTACCGGCGGGGGACTCCAGCTTGGCTCCTGGCACATGCGCGCGCACGCAAAGCGCACGCGTGCTGCATGCACATCACAGGGAAGTGACGTCATGACGCCGGGCACGCTGGGGGCGGGGCCACGACCATACAAGGGAAAACCATAGAGTTTTCCCTTGTATGGCCATGGCCCCGCCCCCAGCATGCCCGGCGTCATGACGTCACTTCCCTGTGACGTGCACGCTGGGGCAGGGTTCCCCCCGGGGCCTGATTTCCTGGCGTCGGGGAACGGGCCTCTGGGGCGGGGGATTTCCACCCCCCGGGGGGATTTGGCAGCCCTAAGAGCCATGTGCTTATTTGTGGCCACAGCATGGTGTTCTGGGCCGCTCACTGGGCCAAGAGAACGACCATTGGATCCCAGTTGGGCTGCAGTGAGCAGGCAGAGGTCAAGTGGTGCGGCCGAAGAGGCATGCACTGGCTTAAGCTTATGCCGCTACTGTTTGAGGAGAGACGTGGTCCTCCTCCTGATGTGCTTGGTGGTAATCACTTGGGTCTGATGAAAGGTAAGGCCCTAGTCATTCAGGCCAAGGCGGATTTGGCAGACATTGTGGACCAGTGGCCTTGGGTGCAACTGGTCTTGTCTGTGATGTTACCGCACCAGGTTTGGCGTAGCCTAGGGGATCCTAGGTGCTTGGATTAGGCACGGCGGAATGCTAACTGGCAGTTTCCGAATCCCATGGAGGGTGGCTTGGGCATCTTTTTATTGCACCCTGATATATGGGTTGAGTTAACAGACCTGTATAGGGGGGACGGGGTGCACCTTTCTAACAAGGGCAGCAACATTTTTCTTACAGATCTGAGGTGAGGGGTCTTGGCGGTGCTGGATCACTCGGTGGGGGCCAAGGCCTAAGCAGAGGCTTGACCTTTGCTATGGCAGGGTAGCGCGATCAGGATGTGAAATGGTGAGCACCTGGGCATTGTTGTAAAGAACTAAAGGGACCTCCAGGAATGGCTTTCAGGCCTTTGTGACTCAAGGCCATGAAGGGGTGATTTTCCTTGGAAGAATCTGGCCAGGCTACCTTAGCAGGCCTTTGAGGCTTCTGGGGTGGTGGGCCAGGGGCTCTCTTGAATATGCCAAGCTGCTGGTTGAAAGCTACCTTCGGTGGCTTGAGATCGGGGCAGGTGCATCGCCCAGAAGGAAAGGAAGGTTGTCAGGAGTTGATACCTGTCATATTCCTCAGTACATTTTGGTAACCCCTCGCCAGTTGTTTCTTCATAAATTAATAAATAAAGTGGCCCTTGTTAAATCCATATTGGTGTCTGTCTCTTCATTCTAACTGAGGGGGCAATGGCTTGGATCCTAAGGCTTTTCCATTCGCAGAGGAGAGGAAGCAATTTTTGCCAATTTCCCATCTTCTGCTACAAAGTACCAGTCCCCTCCCCCCCCCACTGCCACCACTGTTTATTTGGGTCTTCTGACCCACAGGAGCACAATTTGGTGGACAAAGAATGCTGCATGGTGAGGGGGAAGTTGTCTTCCTGTAGCCCAACTCTGCTCCATCCTACTTTGGATCTGAACCAATGTGGGGCCTTGCCAGCAGCCTGGCTATGCAAGGCAGTTCATGAGCACGTCTTAGCCATGGTTTGTGAAATAAGCTGTGCTTTAAGCAAACAGGTTATTTGGATATTTGAATGCAACCATAGTTTGGTTCCCTTGCTGTATTTGTGGAAATAAAACACTGGAACAAAGGGGGTAGATCATGAAGATGAACGGCATTATAGAAAGAGGGGGGAGAAGGGATAGAAGACAAAGAAAATTGAGCTAGCCACACACTGAGGTTTTGCTTGGAAAGAAGACTACAAGACTACATGCCTAATGGTTTTCAACTGAACTGGGAGCAGCAGACTGGGAGACACAATTGGAAAAAAAATCTAGCCAGGGACTTATAAAATGCAATGTGAACACCATGGCTGTGGTCACACACACTAAATAATCCACTTTCAATGCATTTTCCAACTGGATTTCGCAAGTTCACACAGTAAAAATCCAGTTGGAAAGTGCACTGAAAGTGGATTGAAAGTAGATTATTTAGTGTGTGTGGCTGATTTGTCACAAGGAGCTGTGCTGCCGTTGTGCCTCCCTTTGCCCCATTTCCATTGGTCAATTTCTCACTCAAAGCCGCGCGGCCACATTTTGACCCACGGCTTTGCCCGATTTTCCCCGCGGTTTCGTGATCCTGTTTTTTGAGTATCACGAAACCGCGGGGAAAATCGGGTGAAGCCGCGGATCAAAATGTGGCTGTGCAGCATTGCGTGGGAAATTGACCAATGTATATTGGGCAAAGGGAGGCGCGACGGCGGCACAGCTCCTTGTGCAAAATCAGCCTGTGACTGCAGCCCATCACTCTGTTGCATGATCTTATGATGACCTGTAGGGGTTTCAAGATAAGGGATGTTCAGGGGTGGTTTGAGATTGCTTGCCTCTGCATAGGAACCCTGGTGTTCCTTGGTGGTCTCCCATTCAAATACTGACCCAGCCTGGCCCTGCTTGGCTTCCAAGATCTGATGAGATTGGGCTGTCCTGGGCTATCCAATGCAGTTGTGTGGTAAGGATGGGGCTCTCTGATTCAGGAATGTCCAGTACTTCAGGATTGCCATGCAAAACAACCACAAAGTAATCTGTCTGTTTGCATGTACAATTGCTGTATCCAAAAGCCTAAAGACTTCCCTATCAGGATAAGAAACTGAACTGAGAGTGAGAAAGTAATACAGATAACAAATTCTCAGACTGATTATAACAAGTTACATGAGCTACATATTTTGTGATAACTGTCTGATAACAATCTTGATCCTTTTATCCCCCTGCTTCCTTCTAAACTTATCCACTTTTTATCTAGCATCATTTGTTTCCTTTTTTCTTTGCTGCCTTGTTAAACGAGATGTCACTTCAGTCTGAATTACAATTGGGGAGTTAATTATGTAGCTCAGCTATCCCGCCTGCCACTAAAAATGTTAATTTGCTGCCATCTCCTTAAGTCTGGATGAAAATGTTTAAGGCACACAAAAACTCTCTCTCTCTTAAACAAAATTATTCAAACTCCACTTTTTTAGACTCTTGGATTAAATTCACTGAGGAATTAATGCTCCATGAACTTAATACCATTTTCTATATATGGATATGAAGCTGATTCAAAATGCAAATAAGCTGACACACATTGTCAGGAGTGTTCAGTAAACTACCATTACATCTCTATATAAAGGGTAGTGCTTTTAAAAGCTGTGGAATGCTGCATCATTTGCAAAAACCTGGATTTTCTCAAATAATCATGTTACACCATTTGAATCATGTTATATAATTTGAGTGCTATAAATGTAATTGTTTAAATAGTGAACTGGTGTGATTTTTTTACAACATAATATTCATTGATAAAGGATCATCCAGAGTCAGAGGGTTTTTTTTTAAAGCACCTTATGTTTCAGATATGCATATTTTATCTTTGAACAGGATTTGTACTCTTGGATAAATTTCAAGACATAACCTAAAAGCAATCAAACTGTGACTCCTGCTTTTAACTTTTTCAACCATGAAATCCACTTTAACCTAAACTTG